AATGATTATTCAATCAAATTGTTCGCTACAGCAAAATAGAGCTATGTGTATTCAGTCTATAAGAATGAAAGTTAAAACTGTGCTTAATTTATTTTAATTTAAATATATAAATCAATTATGAATAGTTGTATGTGAGATGAAACATGGACAGGTTAGAGTTCCTTTTCTTTCAGACACAAACATAAAACAGAATACTTATTAAACCTTTTGTGAAATATTGTAATATTGTATGAAAAAACTACTCGAAAACTTTATAGATTTGGAAGCCATTTACAAAAGCCGGGCAGAGAAATTTGAGCTAGAGACTAACAGCCTTTTCTTCGTGTGTACATTTGTTTGGGGAACAAGCGTCGTTATTCTGGATTGATGCTTGGGGGCTACTTTAATCAATTTCAAACAACAAACACAGAACACTTGGAGCCTCATAGCTGCAAAAACGCAAGGTTCTTTGGGCAAATATTATTGTATATAAATGTTTATTAAAAGAAAGAAAGATGTATTGCTGGGGGCCGCAAACGGGAATATGGGGAATTTTTGGGGTGATAAATGCTCGTGGCTAGCAAACAGACGACGTCACATTTGCAAAATTGAAAATATTCACACACGTTTCTATATGTACTACGGAGAGACATTTTATGAGTGCACACCTTTAAAATTGCAATAAACGCGGCAATCGAAATGCTTAAATAAAAACAAAATAAGGCGGAAAATTTATGAGGCTTCGGTCCTCCTCCTCCTCCTCCTCCGTCAAGCATGCTATTGCCCCACTAGCTCAAAAGACGATAATTATGATAATAAGTTAAATGCAAAAATTATGATAATTGGCCGACGAGATAGCTACGCCCTCGCTTTCAGTGCATTCTCCAGAAATATTAGCAAGCGCGAATGAGATTGCTCATCCGCCACGTTGGCCGGGTAGCTATAAAAGTATTGCAAAGCCGGATATTCAAGGAAATGCACATTACACCGGCATATTTATGGCTCATAGAAAACTGTACAAATAACTTATAAGATGCCCAAGGAATTTGGAGGCACAATACCAAGGACTTGTGGAAGGAGTTTGGTATTTACATTTTTGGGAGTTACTCAGGTTCTATGCACGAAATTCAAAATGAAAGTTATCAGATTTCTCGTATTTGTAGTCCAAATAAGTAAATATGTTATTGAGTTTGCTCAAAAATTCGTAAACAAACTGGAACTTTGTGTTTATTTAATTTGAGATACCTGTGAAAAGTGTTTCTAGCACTGCAATTTACCGAAACAACTTAAAAATTATAAATATCTGAATATTGAATTCATTTTTTGTTGGAGTCTTAGAAACTTAATGTTTATATTAATACTATCTAAAGATACCTTAAACCAGCAATATTTTTTTAATATTTAAGCAATTAAAACTACATGCTATAATCATAATATAGTGTTTTCCAGTTGAAAAGTGTATTAACCCAGTTGGTAAAATTCAAAATAATGCAATCGAATATTTGCGAAAATCATAAACAAACTTGAACCTAATCTTTATATGAATTTAAGCAACCTGCAAAACGCTTTGTTTATTTATTTCCATTTCGCTTTATTTTTCCACCGCCCCCCTACCGCCACGCCGCTGCACTAAGCTGAAGCACCCCTCTCGGCAATGGCGGAGCGTAAACAAACCCCCCTAAAGAAAGGAAAACAAAAAGCGAAAACACGGACCGGCGAGCAAAGCCAAACAAAACAATTTTGAAAAGAGAGAAAGAGTCCAACTAAATGCGGCCGAACAATGGATCCCCGTATATTTATTTATGAGTAGTTTCAGCGAGTGCTCTTGTTCCCCAACATATTATATGTGTGTGGGCTTTGCGGGTCAAACGCGTGGTCGCCTTTCGCTGGCTGCTTGTTTAAAAATGCGAAAAATCCACAAGTGGCCACAACAAAGGCGACACTGCTGCGGTGAAAATGACAATGAATTTGAGTTGGACTTGGAGCTTATCAGTAGCACCCATTATGTGTTCCATCTAAGGTCTTTGAGCAAGGCCAAATTGAATGAATATAAACTAATAACTGGGAGGATGCAGGGAGGACTTTATAAACTTATTTTGATGCGTTTATTTTGATTTAATTCTACATATTATTAAAGTGTAAGGTAGAAAGAGGTATTTTTTACTATATTTTTTAATTTAAGCTTAAAAAAATGGAAGTTTACTTCCTGTTTAACTACATTTCCAGAGATGTTTTAGGTCCACTATAACTATATTATATATGTCCCATTTTACTTAACTATGTTTTATTATTATTTATTTATTATACCTTAATACTTTGTATATTTTTCTTATAATTTAAGCTTGTACATTCGTTAGTAGTTTTTAATGGGTAAAAAACATGTAGCAAGCAAACAAATTTCTTTATTGTTTCTGTTGATTTCTACGCAGGACTGCTTTCATCCCGACTTTATTTTATTTTCTGTGCTCCACTCCAAATTAAACTGACACAATTTAACTTGGCCAAAAGATGCAGCCGTGAACAGCGAAGCGAAAATGTTGAGCAATTGTGGGTAGCAGAAACTTTTACCAACTTGAATGAACAACGGTGGCGCCAAAGTGTAGTTACTTTGGTGGCTTGACAAAGGCAGAAAAAACTTTGTCTCTTGGCCCAGTCACTCGGTGGGAGAAGGGGGGAAAGGACAACTGGGTGGGGAGAGTCGCATCTCGCATGTCGCATGCCTTAAGGATATGCGAGAACTTTAGCCGAGTTCGCTCGACATACTGACATTTAGACACTGACGCAAAGCTCCGAAAGACTCTTAAATATGCTTTCTAAACAAAATAATTACAATTGCTAAGGCAAATGACAATGTTTCTACGGTTTCCCTCATGGAATGATACTTTTTAAACATTAAGAAAACAAGAAACAAAGAGAAATAGTACCTCATGGAATGATACTTTTTAAACATTAAGAAAACAAGAAACAAAGAGAAATAGTACAACAAAAGAATGTATATTATTTTATGAGAAGCTATAATTTGTATTTGTATAATGTTGACTTACCATTGATTGACTTAAACCTTAAACTCTTAACCTGTAACATAACTTGATTTTAAATCTTTGGAATGCTTGAATGTTTTTATCTACTTTAGATGAACAAGTTGAACAAGTTGAACAACTGAAACCATTATATAAATCTCCCAATATATGGATTCTGCTTATGTGAAACAAGTGTTAGAAGTAGAAGATATTCTCAAAGGATATATTTTGAAAGTTTTTTTGATCAAATAACGGCTTTGGTTTTTGTTAAAATACACATATATAAAAAAGTACCTACCTTTATTGCTCTTATGTACGAAACTTGACAATAAAAAAAGAAACTTTGATCTAATATAAATATATTTTCCCACAAGCTTATATGTCATTTATTTATATTTTTTTAACCTTATATATTACATTAAATACTTTTCAAATTAAGATTTTAGTTTTTAATGAAGTCGGACAGATACTATTTCGCCAACACTAATGGAACACAATAAACTTTATAGAGTATAGTTATCGCCAGCATCTTGGCCAAAAGTAACTTCTGTTGTGCTCTGAAGTATGTTGGGCTGAAAACTTTTCTAATTGCTGCATAGACACTTTCAAGCCAGCGAAGGCCAGTGTATTTACATACAGAAATACATACATTTTCTGGGTACAGAAAACAGCAAACGAGAGTGAGACGTGGAAGTGCGTTAGGAAAATGCTGTGACCAGAAACAACATTTAACAACATCAAACAAGATGAACAACAAGTTCGAAGCTATCACGTGTAGCTGCTGATTGCATCTTGAATTTCCCTTTGGAAATGTTAGAAACTGAGATAAATCGAATGGCATACTAAGAAACACTAGAAAGTAGAAACTTTATTTTTTATTATTCAATAATAATTTCTATGTATTTAAAGAAAAAACAGTATTCATTTGGCTGATGTAGAGCTTTCGAACTAAACCATTACTCCATTCACTTCCTTTCCATTTCGCTTCAGTAACTCTCTCGCTCTCTGTGCCAATTTCCGCACGGAAGGAAGGAGCAACAAGTGCACCAGGTTCGAGGGCGAGGAGGAGCATCCCGGAGCGGTGCCCGGAACAGGGCGAGGCAATCGAAACGCGCAGCTGGCGGCTGTGAGGAGTGCCCGCTTCCGGCTTTCCGCCGCCGCCGTTCGCCATGGTAGAGCACAATGCGGAAACTGCGAGAACGGAAAACGGAAACGCCGCAAATGCAACGAATCTGATTGTCAAAGTCGACGGAAATGCAACGCAGCCCAGGACGATGACATCATCGGCGGCTAAGATGGCGGAGGCATTATCCGCTTCCTTGGCGGATTTAAGCGAACATGAGAATGGAACCACGGGTGAGTGTGAAAATGCCTTGAATTCCTCTATGAATGGGAAAAGCTTATTGAAATCAAATTAGTTTCACAAAAAGAAGTTTCCACAGTCAAGGTTGCTTATCTTAAACTTTCATAAAAACGAAGGCAATATAAGTTATTTCGGGGAAATCTCACGCTATTGCAAATTTTTCGTATGCTTTGGAACCTTGATCACTTGCTAGTTGTTAACTCGTAGAATGTATCTTTTATACTTTCGTAGAGAATTAAATAATGTAACAATTTTTAGATACTGAAGTAATTCTGTATTCTTATTGTTTGACACTGCTAGTATTATACGAGCCTCGAGCTTGCTTTCTATTCATCCTTCAGCCAGCTCAGGGCCATTTTAGGTGGTTGCCTTGGTTTGGTCTTTAAATTGAATTGCCAGTCTGCCCAGCCCTAGTTCCCGAGTCAGTGCCAGTCCCAGTCCCAGTCCCGGACCCAGACCCGTCCTTATCCGGCCCAGCTCACTCCTTCCCCCTCTGGCCGGCTGATGTAACCCCGAGCGCTACTTAATTTGGGCTTGTCACGATAGCATCAGGCTCTCCCCGTTTCCAGCGTGGCGCGTTTGTTGTTTTAATTAAATTTACCCCACTCGCGCGCCTTTCATAATCATAATCGTAATAATGACGACAGAACAGTTATTTTACTATACACTTTTGATTAATTTGTGTCCGCGCAACGCGGCTAAAGTCCAAAAGTCAAAGAGCCAAATCTAAAGAGAATTTCTACTTAGCAAAGTTATCGATGAAGTAGTTTAAAATTTATGCCCAAGCTGAAAGCAATCCATGGTTTAAGCTTCAGCATGAAGTCCAAACTCATCATAATAACGTAGCTTATTGAGGGGAATTAACATTTTCAAGAGAGCCAAGAGGAGCAGAGCCAAAAGTATAGTAGCCAGATTTCCGTAATTCGTACGCTGCACTCCACTTTTTGCTGCTCTACAGTATTGGTGGCAGGCGACACAGGTAACTCCAAACTTTTCGTAATGCTTTTCACCAATAAGTATCTGGCATCCCAGTTGCGGCGACCAGAAGCAGCAAAACCGCGCTATAGGATCTGTTATTAAACGGTCAAAATGGGGGACAGCCTAACAACTACACACGGCTGGCTTACACTTCATTTGGTACATACGGGGCATGCATTGCGGAAACTTATTAGTTGGCTGAGTAAAGTTCTTCTGAAGCGCATTTACATCCTCTTCGTGACAACGGTGGCCAGTAGATGTAAATGTATGAGGGATCTTCGAACTGGAGCAATCTCCACATCGGTTTAAGCCTGGTGACGCTGTCACATGCAAAACAAATGTCCGGCAATTCTTCAGTGACTAGTGGCATTGAGTACTTACAATCTTCGGGATGCTGTCTACTTTTGTGCACCAAAGTAATAAATACAAGTAGCATAAATTTACACATTTTAGAATTTTTTTCTTAAAAGCATTTGGAATCAAATGATATTGCAGATCCTACTGAGATGTAAAATAGGACATTTGAGACTTGGAATTTCTGAATTCATAATGCAATATGGTTTTGTAATACTTTTATATATAACCTCATTCACGGAATTAACGAAACTAGTTTTCCAACTTTCCCCAAATTTTGTTCTCTATAATTGTCATCAATTTGATCATGACAAAAAAGTCACAGTTTGAAATATAGTGTCCTTTGCTTGGGAAAAATGCACTGAATATTATAACTAATTGAGGACATTTCCAATTAGAGGGAAAATATATGTATCTATTTAATGATTCGACAAACATTTCTTTTTGGCTGACTAAGTGAACATCAAAAAGTGACTGATAAAAACACATATATTTAAAGGACAATGCCCGAAGGTAGGACAAAAATAAGCTACATTTTATTTTGCATATTGGTGAAAGCAACCTGTGGTCCATTTGACTACTTGTTGTACATGTCATCAGATAAACATCGAAGACAAAAGGTTTTGAGGTTGAAAAACCAACGATGCTTTAAGGTTTTTTTTTGGTTCTTTTTTAGGTTCTCTTAGAAGAATTTCTTGCATCTAGCTTCGTTTAAATAAAGTACACACATTCTATTTAAATCCATCGTTAAATTACTTTTTTGATAATTGTTATTTATTTAATTTTTTTTTTTCAATTATGATTCTCGATTATTACGTTGTTTCCTCTTGCGTAAATAAAACGAAATGGCCGTGAAAAGAAAATAGACTGTCGATCCTATTAAAAGAAATAAATCAGCGCTGTTGTTGAACTTTGAAGAATTAATTTGTCTTACCGCAAACGAAGATTATATAAATCCAGAATAAAATTTCATACTCTAGGCCCAGGTTTGCATATACATTTGTCTTCAAGGCGTAGGACACTGAGGCATAAATTATCGCATATATCATGTAGGACGCCTCGATAAGTGAGTAAAGAAAAATCGGAATAAGGTTTGTCTATTGATCGTTAATTTATTATAAATAAATTATACTTTTATATAAAAAAAGCATAAGCTTACTGTAAGCACTGAGCAGGACAAGCAAAGAGAGGAAATAAAATGTAGTATTCCCCATAAAAGGTTCAGCCAGACCTCCACATTATTATACTCCTTCAGTCCTGAATTGAATAAGAATAAGAATTATATATCTGACCTTTGTTGATTTAAGCTTACGAAAGAATTCCACCATGTGTATGAAGCCAAGAACCAGTTTCAAAAAGGATATAATGATACAACCGACGCGTAAGCTTAGACACCAGCAAAACTTTTTCAAATACATTAAGTTCCTTTATTTCACTTACTGACGACAAATCCAATGCTATAAGGTTTCAGCAAACTTCTACACTTTTCAACTAAATAAAGGATAACTTACAAACCAAACCATTAAGCTATATTTTCAGTTTCTTCCTTCCTCAGTTGTCGATAATACGAACAGGTTATAAACGTAAAATACGAGGTCATGGCTAAAAACAAAAGTATTAATAATAAATATGCCTATCTATTGATAATATAAATTTACTCAGCCGAATAACTATGTGCGCCCAATATGTAATATTATGCCACAAGCTCACATTTATTATTAAATTTTTACCCATTGCCGATGATATAATACTATATGAGATAAGGTATACAGGCTGAAGGACTTGAAAGACCAGTGTAGTCCAAAACAGACAGAAATATTGCTAAGGGTTGCTCTTTTATTTATATTAATGAAGTGTCTTTATATAGTAAGTTACTTACCGATAAAACCGCTAGGATCAATATATAGGATGCGCAAAAAGACAATAATTCCGCGAAAATTTGTAAACATGCATGGAATACATGAGCTAAAAGTAAGGAAACTTTACTGTAATTTGATCAACTACATTTATTAAAAGTAAAAGCATGACACCATATTAAGAAGTTAATTTTAAGGCTATGGCATTTTCAGTAATTTAACTAAGACTAGATAAGAAAATGCATTAACTTTTGCATTAACAGGTTTACAATCAATTTAATATTTTGTATGATTACTGGAGCAGTTTTTGGACAACGATACGAGAAAGATTAAAATAAATAATAATCTGAATATAGTTCCACATATGGTTTCCTGTTCTAAGATGCTTATAAAAACTATAATTAATGACAAACCTTATGATGTAACATACTCACCTGGAAATCTATATTTGGTTTCACTATTGTAAGTCCCTATTAAAATAATAAAATGGGAATTAATGTTAATTGTAATAGAATCGTGATATAAATAAGCTTAAATATTGATTAATAAATAAGTTTTATTTACTATTCAGGAGGTGCATAATGTAGTTTATGTTTGTGGTGGACAAACATAATCCAATAAGCGCAATTATGATACATCCAATTTGCAACGATACACAGAAGAAACATTTTTTGGCCACAATCATAGTATAATAAATATTTAAATAAAGGGACGTTGACAGTTAATGCAAAATGGACTATCTTGTACATTTTTAAATTAAAAAACCAGTTCAAGATCAAGATTCTCTGCTTAAAAATAGTTAAACGAAACAAATGAAATGTTGAAATATTATGTTCTGCGTAACACATGGCGTATACGTAATTTATTTACACAGCGGAAGTCTCCGGGAAATCTTGTTATATTGCCTGGCCAACTGTTGGTGCCAAAGTCAAAGTCAAGCGAAATTATATCCCCGTCCTTGCCGCCATGTCCTCTTGAGCCTGATGTGGGGAGTATTAACTTTTTTGCATAATTTCAATTTAAGCAATTTATATTATGGCCTCATTAGCATCAGCATTAGCCTAGAGTTTCCCGCTCGATATGTGTGTGTGTCTCTAGCACGCGTGGAATCGTTTTCAGTTCTCATCAAGATGCTAATGAAATTATAAAGAAAATTGAGTCTGCCATATTAACACGGTACAAGCTGTTATCATCACGCTGGCAGTCTTCTCACTTGATGAACAGGTGTAGGGAATATATACACGGAGTCTAAAAATAAAGATAAATTCAGGCTCTGCATATCCTACCTCCTCCTTGCCAAGCGCCTTATTTGTCCACACAAGGCGGTCGGAATTCATCTGGATTTCTCGTCACATAATAATGAAAATAGACAATGAGGATGCAGTACAAGTCTATCACTGCAAGTACAAACAATTATGCAAGTGTTAAGGGCTAAAGATTATTGTATGATCTTACCGAGGGTAATCAGCATCGCCAGTACATAGACGGAAATGGAGAGAGCGCTGTGGAAGTAAGGGTTTCGACCGTATGGTAGTGCATGGAAGACAATGTAGTAGGATATCATGTGGATGACGAACATTGTTATCCAAAGGATAACTAATTTCATAATTTTCTGTTGCAAAGTTAATGTTCAATAGGGATCGAAATGAAGGGATTCCTTGCTCACCGACATAATAGCTATCAGCAGGACTACGGCGGCCGCGATCATCAGAGCGATATGGAAAACATTGAACCATTTGATCGATTTATCAGTTTTACTGGCTGCGAAAATACTTAACGATGTGTGGTCAAATGATCCGACAATAGCCTTTCCAACTTACTTTGTTTGTAAATTGCATCATCGACAATGGTGCCCGCATTAATAAATCCGAAAAACAAGGTGTAGAACGAAATTATAACGCACCCAGTCTTCAATGACATACAAAAGCAACATTTGTATTTGATCAGCTTCCTGCGTAATGGCATCAAAAATAAAAACTCTTTTGTGTGTATAAATGCCAATGAAGTGTCATTTTTGACGTTTAAATCCCCACAACTTAAAGCTGGATAGCTCTTTAGAATCTTTATCCTGGCTTAAGGTCAGTGAAGTCCATCTCTCTGGGCAAAGTTGCCAAAGAACATGTCCCTCCCTGTGAAACTTTGGCCATACCAAACTTATGCAGAGTCCTTTGGCCTTTATGCACATCCTTCGCTGAGCTGAGCTAAATGCTGCCTGCTGCTGGTTTCCCCTCCTTAATGTGTTAGCTGAAGCAGAAACTGTCTCTAAAATGAAGATTCCATTTAACTTAAAGATTTTCTTTAATGTATATTTATATATTGTATTGTTCAATTAATAATTATTCGTTCTAACTAGCTTGTGACTAGCTTTAAGACCGTAGAAATCACTAGCCAATTAGTCGGAATACCTTCAAGTTTTAAATGGAAATAATAATTGATTCTGTCCCGTGATGGAACCATTTCTTAGAAATGAAGCCTTCCCATACGGCGAGCTACTACTAATGATGTCAATCTGATTAGTGTATTGTGTGCTCCCAGACTTCATTATCCTCGGGCAACATATGGCAGCTTCATTTTTTGATTGATTGCAGCATCAATTTATTTGTCATTAATACCCCGACATCGAATTGCGTAAGCAACGTGTTGATGGCCCATTAAATGTCAGCCAAAAGAACAGATAGGAGCGTTAGTTAAATGAAAAGGCTCGGTCACATATCCGTACCCCTTCGTGGATCGATCGATGCCAGGGCCATTCCGAATCTCTCTCATCCACTCTTAGCTCCCAGGGCAGCAGCAGCTCATCTATCATCATTGGTACTGGTATCGGCATTGGCCTGGGTGCCCGGTGGCCCGGGTGAGAGCTCCTTTCTATCCGGGAATGCTTTTACTGTATCCTTCGCTCTTCTCCACAGCTTCGCCACTTCGTTCACACCCTCACACCCCGATTCCGTCGTATTTATAGCATCTTAATTGAATTTCAATTTTCAATTTCGCTTTTAATTGAATTCAATGAAAAAGTGTCGATGAAACGGTATTCAGCCATCCCTCATCCCCAGCTGGCTCCCCTCGTGAGAGTACCCTGCACCCTGCAGTTGTTGTTGATGCTGTTTATTCAGCTGCCAGTTGAGCGCCGCCTGGCTGCCTCTCGATGGCGCCGTCCAGGCCACAAAGCGCCCGGGTGAGCCTGCGAAATAGCACTGAGAGAAAAAACGTAGTTAAATATAGTCAATGTTTCAGTGGTATTGAAAACATAGCGATACTCAATTGGGTCGATATATTTTTCAATGTTTTTACATTGTAAATTTATCGTTGCTTTCTTTATATTGAGTAACTAGCAAAACTAATTAGAGATGGTGGAAAAATTCGATAGAGAAATGTATTTTGAAATTACGATATATATTCTGTTTTTTCTATTCGAAACATTTTCCTATACCACATTAGGTCTATATTATGAGTAAAAAATAAAATTAAATATATCGGCAACACCATTGCATTTATCGAGAATTTACTTTTATTTGACATTTTAAATACGTAATATTTCGATACTTCAAATATATAAAATTTTGCATTATTATTCAAATTAAATGAGTTCTTTATTTTGGGCAACATATGAGTTTCCTAACTATATAAAATCGATTATATATTAATTTAAATAAATTTAGTAATTGTTTTAACTTATACCTTTGGCTTATCCAAATTTAAGCTTATGTTAAAGTCGATTCCTTTAAGTCATGTAAGTATAGTAAAGATAAGTGTGAATTTGGTCTATTATAATTAAATTAAGAGATCTATGCTTATTTGATAAATTTAAAACAACAATACCTTTTTTATGAGGTGAGGCAATAGCAAGTTGTACTTAAAATGGTTAATATTAAATAGTGTGGCAAATAATCTTAACATTAACCAAAAATTAATTGTAAATAATCTATCTAGTTTCTAGGTTCATATGTTAGATGATAAATAAGAAATAAAATGGTATACAACCAATTGCTTATATAGCAAAAGAAATTAGTATTGTGGGTACATTCATCAAATACCAAATTTATGTTCCATTATATTTGAAGCAATAAAGCACAATTGCTTTTCCCTCAGTGGATATCTAAGTGTACTAAAACGACCCACAATTGGCTTGATGTGATTGCGCTCATATTTTGCACTCTGATTGGTTTGTGATTGACTGAAAAGTTGTAAATTGATTCGACTGAATGTAAGTGCGGGCCATTGCGAGATAAACAAACCCATTTCGGTGGTAACTGGGTTAAGCAATAGAAAAGCACAAATGTTGAACCCTATCACTATCTGTGAACATTAATTTTGGTCGGTCTTGTTTCAAGTTTTATGAATTTCCTTTGATAATATATAATATGTATGAATAAAGTGTCTGTATAAAATAGTATTTTCAAAGGGCTGGCCTTTCTATTCAGAAATATCTGGACCTGGCCATGCCTTTTCATTACAACAAAAAAATCTTGAATTAATGTGGAAATGTGCCACAAACATCGCAAGCGGGGTGAAAAAATCTGTCACCAGCGAAGCGAATCGGACAAATAGAAATTCAAATGAATGCAACTTGCATGCGAAATGAGGAATGCCGTGCGCACACCTCTCAGATGCGGAATGGCAGCATCTGTAGCTGTATCTGTATCTGTAAATGTATCTGGCACTGTATATGCATTTTGTTGGCTGTCTGGCTTATTATGCGGGCCCCATACACATAACTCGCGCATGAGTTTGCATTCATCATGGGGCCACACGTGTGTATCTTCGGCTTAGCCGATATGAGATTTATGCCACTCAACACAAGACGAAATATCCTCGACAATAGTAGACCCTTCTACATTTGCATGCTGGGGCAGAAGGTTGAAGGTGCCAGCGATCTGTGTTGCCATTTCCCCGGGTTTCCATCTGGGGAAAATCAAGTATTCCGCGAAATTGGCCCCCAAAGATAAAGCCGGCAACCAACAAAAGATGTATGCAAATTGCTTTGACAGTGAATATGTGCCCGGAGCAGTGTCAGCGTTTTATTGCTAAAATATGCACATTACCATGCCAGATTTGTGGGATCTGGCCATTGATTGCCCTGCTCCGGGGAGAGGTTTGAGTTAAATCGGAATAGCTGAAGAAATCATCGTTTAAGAGCAAATTGATAGCGAATCATGGGGAATTCAATATTCATGAGAAGCTTACAAGTGGCTTACATGGTCTTTTGTACTTGGCAAATGCCTTTAAAAGGATACTCCTTTTGGAACTAGTTTAACTTATAAATAAGTATAGTTTCATAAATATACACCTTGACATTTTTTATCTTGTATGCATTAAGATACTTCTAACGTTGTGACATTTTGTAATAAGAATGTAGATGTAATCTTAAATGTTAATTTTTGATTCTTCAAGCCCTATTGTGCTGATGATTTATTTTCCCCAAAAGAATACCTTTCTAGCTTAAGCATACCTCTAAAAATAGCTTAATCTTATGATTCCGCTCTCCTATTGCTATAAAGGCATCCCATGGACACCTATTGGGATTTCACACACTATGGGACCATTACGAAAATTGAAAGCTTAAGCGTTTTGGGTCTAATAGCTGATTGACTTGCGTGCCACAGAGCCGAAATGAAGGTAGTAAAGGGAAGACAACGTATGCAGAGACAGGCAAAAATAAATACAATAAGATAGAGTGTCCTGACTATAAGATACCTATCGATGTAGTTAATTGTTAGTTTGTGCCTGTAAATGAGTTTGTTTGCCACTTCATTACTTCTTTTAAAAGTCCTTTAAATAGGATTTTTGTAGTTACTACAAAATCTAAAGTAGAAAAGCATATAGTATTTAATTTAGCAATATATGCCTAAACATTTTAGATTATCTTAATATAAAAACTTATCATCCAGATTACATAGCTTACTACCAAGGTAGTAACCCCTTTCACATTGGGTATTCGGTAGAGAAAAGTGTCAACTCAAGCAAATGGGCAAGGGATAGCTTTTCTGAAAATAAGTTCTCGATGCGCCTGCGAGTGTCAGCGGCAGACTGTTGACTGGCCCTGGCTTTTGTCTTAGCCATGACATTATTTACGAGCTTCGTGCCAGCGACACGCACAGCAAGGCAAATGGGCAGCTGCGTTCTCAGCCGCAGAAACTAGCAGGATACGTGCCCCACAGGGTCGACTTCGTTGGCACGTCTATTACCTTAAGCGTCTGTTGCCAATTTGGCTTCCCTTTGCCACCGCACATGGCCTGGGGCTCCGGAGGTTCGCATTGACTGCACCTTGATTAATACGCTGCCAGGACACTCTTTTTCCCATTCCACCGCTTGACGCCATCTCGTTCCGTTCTGCCATTAGCAAATGCTGTGGCTACGAGCATTTCCATTGTTTCCGTTTCCGTTGTCCTATTGTCACCAATTTGTTAGGATGTCTCTTCTTTTCATCAACGCTATGGACTATTTCACATTATTCATGCGAGGTAGGTGTTGACTGCTTGTTCTCTTTAGGAGAAGTTGATATATCCGAAGATTAATGAACACATTAATTATGAATATAAGCTAAGGACATTTGCATTATAAAAATATATAAATTAGAAATTATTTCTCTATACTATCTTTTTGCTTAATATTTAATAATATTAATATTTAATTCCATAGAATCAAAGACATTTAGAAATGTAAATTTTTCCCCTTCTTATTGCTATAATAAAGTTTTATTAATTTGTCGCAAGATAATATAAGAACAGCTCGTTATAAATGTGTTTATTTAGCAAACTGCCCTTTTAACAACCCGGAAACATTTGGTGTAAAGAACTTCATTTCCGAACGCAAGAAGGGTCTGTTTGGGCCTTTGACCCACATCACACATAATGGCTCCATTTAACATGACCGAATGGTGCTATGAGATAAATATAAATATAAAAATCCCTTGAATATATCTCTGCATTGAAAGGGCGGCTATAAAAAATCAAAGTGAATGCAGACAAAAAGCTATTCGAGTAGATCGTCCGACTAAGCCCCACAGAATGTGGTGA